AAGGCTGGCCGGCTTAGGCCCTGTCTGTTGCCACCCTTAGCATGAGAAGACTGAGTAGGGGTGGTAATCGGGTCGGGTCGACCCAACAACCCGATAGGTTGTTCCGATTTAAGTCCGGGTCCAAGTTTTGGAACCAATGGTTCAGGTCCGAGTCCAAAACCCTGGACGGGACTTGGATCCAGGTCGGGTCTGAGTATAGGTCAACTTGACCACACACACATATATTGTAATATATAATATTTTGATAAATTTGCCTATACATATATATTTGAAATATGTTTTTAAATATTTTATAAAATATTTTTATTAGATTCTAGAGCATTGGTCAAGCAGATCCGACCCATTCCCATTCCTACGGCTGAGGATTCTGCCTTTTTCTCCCTCATGAGAACCTAATCAACTAACACACAAAGAAAGTGGTTTTCAGAACTTTTTCACAAAAGAGAATAAAGCTACACCACGGTCCAAGAGACCCAAAATGATTTGTCTACTTTTAGACGAATAACAAATGTCGATGACGATAGCAAAAAAAAAAATCATATTATGAAAAGAATAGAAACTTTTGTGAAGGTCGGTGCACAATTGAAGATAGATATTTCTAGTATTTCATCTTGATATCATTCATCCTCGATAACCTCCTCCATACCACTCATTTATTTATTTATTTATTAATGGCAACTTAAGATTCCTGTGAGAATGAAACCTAAACGTCACGATCTGACACCCTCCATTTCATTTTGACCACCTCTACCTAGAGCCCGTTTTCCCCACCTCGCCATGCATCATCATAGTAGCCATCACTATCATCTTTATTAATGTTTTTAGTAAAGGTACTAATGTCATTAAAGACAATAATAGTGATAAGGAAGTTTTTAACGACATACTTTGCATTATGATTAAAAAAAATGGATTCTCCTTCCTTAAAGTGATTTGATTCCAATATTTTGGATCATTTGGTTCTAAATTTGTTTGAACCAACTCCTTTTGCAGAGGGCCAAATATACCTTTCGTGGAGCTGGCTCCGTCTATGGAGCACGAAATTATCAATTTTGGAAAATTAATAAATCATACATTAACTCCTCAGAAGAAAAAAATGACAAGAATTATCGTTGTTATAGTTAATCCTTGCAGCTTCGTTTATGATTAGTGCAGAGAAGAGAGGGAAGAGGAACTTACGGCAGCGCAGTAGTGGACGACCTTGACGTTTTCGAGCTCCACATTCTCGGGGTGGCGCCACAACATGGCGAGCACCAGGTTGTAGATCAGGGGGATGGGCTTGTAAGTATGTTGGAAGAACATGTTCAGGAAGTCCTAGTTATTGTAAACAACAACAATTACAATCACTACCATTATTATATAAAACGTTGGTGCTATGAACTTTTCATTTAACTGGAAATGATCATGAGGGATTCTAATCGGTGTTTAAAAGAATGTTTATTCGATCGGGAAGTGAGAGTGAGTGTGTGTGAGATGGGATACCTGTTCGGCGAAGGGTGTTGGTGGGGTTATCTGGAGGGTTTCGAGGAGGGAGTCATAGGTGAGCTTGCTGGGCTCGTAAACGAACATGCCGGCGTTGAAATACAGAGGTGGGGGGTTCCCGAACCGCTGGTCGTCGATGGGCCACTTGACCTTGTCGGGGCACTGCTGGCAGTAACCGATGGAGTACTGCTTGGTGTGGCTCCATGTCTTCTCACAGAAGCAGTCCATGACAGCGTAGAAGTAGCCGTCAGGGGTATCAAACAGATGGTCGATATTGTCGAACACTTGAATGTCCGCGTCCAAGTAAACCATCTTGCTATACTCCTCAAACTATATATACATCACACACACAATACAAATAAAAAACAAAACCAAAACCAAATTGTTATTACTTATACACCATTCATTTCTTGTTATCTACATCTCTCTCTCTCTCTCTCTCTAACGGAACCAACCAAGTATAGCTTAAGTGCTCTCTCTCTCTCTTTCTAACGGAACCAACCAAGTATAGCTTAAGTGTGGCGATGGGCCCGGTACCCAGCCGGACCTGACCAAGCTGGTCGTAGAAATTAGGGCGAGACCACAAAACATTGCCCAAGGGCCGGGCTCGAGCTAGGCCACCACGCCTCACGCCTGGTTTGGACTAATGTCAAGATAGGGCCCGATCGGCTTTTATTTCTTTTTCTTTTTTGTTTTATTTTCTTTTAATTTTACCTGTCCCAGCTCAGCCCGGACCTAATATGGCACGAGTCAGTGTTGGCCCCGAGGGCCTCTTTGGCCTAGTTTGGCCCATGGGGGGCAATGGACCCCAACCCGACTTGGGTATGGATATGAGTTCAAAAAAAATGGGACACAACAGGTCGGGTCCCTGTCCAAATCTTGCACCTTAACGCTATTCGGATCCAGGTCTACGTAGACCCGACCCGAATAGTATTAATATTTTAAAAATAATTAATATATAATATCTTAATAATATTTAAATATAATTATATATATAAATATATATATTTAATTATTTTTATTTTTTTAAATCAAATTTAATCTGAATCCAACCGGACCGACCTGACATGACCAATTTCCACCCCTAGTTTGGGCCATGGCCTGCGTTGGCCGCCCCTTAGGCGTTAGGCGTGGCCCGGCCGGTTGGCAGCCCTAATCTTTGTATTTCAATCCCAAAAAATCAACTAACTTGTCACTGTACTACGGTGGCCTGCATCGAAAGTACAAGCGGGAGATAAACCCAAACCAAAAAGGTTTCAAAAGAAAAAGGGCGCAAACAGGACAAATGACTCGAAAGGAGTAAGCACTGTTTCATTGGGAACGGATTCGAAGAGTAGCCCTTTTTCACCCTTTCCAACACATGTTGCCCACTGCCCCACCACCCATTCCAATTCCATGACTACTCTTCTTATTAATTTGGGAAGGGAAAGTGCTTAAAATTAGGGGACATAAGATATTCCCTTGCCTTCACAATTCCTATACTTTGCTGTGTTAACATGCCCTAAGGTTTCGGGATACAAAGCTTATTCCTACTTTTTGGTGACAAATCATTTTCGACCAAATATACTTTTCTCTCTCTTCTACAAGAGAGAGAATACGTGCATAGATGCATCCATGCATACGAAAGAGCAAGGAAGAAGATTAAGAGTGGGTTCGGAAATACGTTAAAAGTTTCGACCTCCATTCTTACTAACACTTAGAAAAATAAAAAAACAAAGGGAGACACTTACATCAAAAATGCGAAGCTTGGAGTAGTTGATGACATAGTAAGCCATGGCAAATTGGATTTGGTTATCAGGTGGGTAGATGGGCTCAATCTCTCTAACTATGCACCCTTGAGAAGTCAGAATTTGTCTGTGCTCCTCAGGCACATCAGGCAAGATAGCCACAACCAGAGGGTAGGCACTTTTGGCCTTTCTCAACCCCTTGGCCAGTCCCACAACTCCCTTATAATAGTCCCCCGTTCCCGCCAAGAATGTCACATATGCCCTCTTAGAGTAACCCCCTCCATTGAGGGTGGTCACCTTTCCAGCTCCAGATCCATTAAACACATCGACGGGCACTTCAGGTGGGGCCATTTCAGATAATTAGTGATGAAGTTGGGGGTAAAGAGGTTGAGGAACTCTCTCCTGTTTTTGTGAGGAGGGTGGCAAGGGAAGCGAAAGAAGGGGACCTTCTCTTACTTGCCTCTCTCTTCCTGGTTTCCAACCTTGGGCACCCCCAGCCTTAAATAGATCTCAAATGAGAATCAAATTCACATGAAATGAGGCGAATTTCAACCCGGATGGCGAATCTCCTCCTTTTTGGTCTTTCTTTTTATTATTTTGTAGTTTATATCGATCAAACGAATGAACCCCGTGCATCCGGCCGTTGGATCTCGTCTTATCGTCGCCAGGACGGTCGAGATGCACTCGCGTCTACGTCGCTTGTGAGGCGTCAAATTCAGAATAACTTGGGGAGAGGCGGATGGTGTCAAAAACGCCGTCATTTTCGACGCGCAATAAAATAATATTCTTCCAGACGCTGCCGTGGCATTCAGTCTGTTACGTTTTTCATTCAGATTTCGTGCTCCCGCGGGAGCATTCCCCCCCCCCCCACCCCCCCCCCTTTTGAAACGTGATCTCATGCCCCAAATTTTAGGGACTAATCTCAACAAGAGAAAATGAGAAATCTAAACACACTCATGTCCCCTAAGATAACGATGTCTTTAAGATCGATCCGATTATTATCCAATTTTTGGAAATATAGATATTAAGGAATCCAACCTTAAGTAGCTCTAAAGGGCCTGAGGTCGTGGTGGTAGCACCCCCACACCCTCGTCGCCATGTCGAGGTTTTGTTGCCACCAACACCGTCGTATTAACACCTTCAAAAAAAGCCAACTTCTAAACGATTTTAAAAAACAGGCAAGGTTTGTCTTCCCACTGAAATCTACCCAAACTCAATATTGAGTAAGGTATACACCATGCTCTCGCGAGAGCATACATTGCACACCTGCTCTATTGGCTAGAAAGTATACCTAGGAGGGATTTTTCAATTTGAAATTTTGGGAAACACCTAAAAATCACTAGATAATTATTTTTAAAATAAAAATTTAATTTTGTAACATTTAGATTTCACTATCCAAAATTTGGACAGTCTATTCAATCTTGAGAAATTATTTTTTCAAGTGCATGAGAGTGCAATTTTAAAATTTTATTTTTACTGAGTTTAATCCATGGGTTAAAGAGTTTACACCGCAAAATTTTGGGGTCTTAGCATAAAAATAAAAATAAAATAAAATAAATTCTTAGAGTTACTCCTAAGATTGAGTTTTATGCGATAGAGTAAATAGACAATACACTCCTACGTGAGCACGAAATCTTTTGGTTCACAAGTAATAGGAGAAGAACGCAAGTGAGCAGGATAAGCCATCATGACATGGAATGGGCAACCCCACGTTTTGGTGGCATAATTGGATTCACAATGAAGATGGTCACCAAAGTAAGCCCCAATAATTGGTCTGTAAGTGTAGGAATCGGTCTCTTTTATTCAAGTGACTTTACTCATTTATAAGAAGAAAAAGAAAAAGAAAAGTAACCTCCATCCGATCTGTATATTTTTTGTGTTTCCACTCGGTTGCGATTCACCATATGAATCTGATACAAGACCAATGTGGAGAAGGTAAGAAGTACCCCAACTATAAAAGCGATACATTTTCTATAAGGCTTAGGTTTAGGAAATCTCCATGATAATTTAAAATCAATTTTCGACACCCACTATGGAAATTTAAAGCTAAAAAATATATAGATTTTGCATATCCATGAACAATTATTTTTAGGGCGTGTTGGATATGATGATTATCCACCCACATAAAGAAATTTCTTATTATGTGGGATTGTGATTGATATTGATAAAATTTCCTAAAAGAAATAAAATTTCAAAAAGATTAGGACTCTCGATATATGTAGCACCATGGTTCTTGATATATATGTAATACATAGGAAGTTTTCTATTTGGTGTGAACTCCTAATCTTATATATATCATATGAAAGTGCAGAGAATTGGTATGCCTTATTTATGTCACCATATGAGAAAGGTGGCTTCCTCTAGAGGGAGTGGCAAGGCCTCCTGAGCATCAGAAATGTTTCCTCTTAGAGAGAAGAGAGCTTCCTATAGAAAGAAATAGCATGAATGTGCCTCCTATAAATTGAGAGGCTGGTTTCTTGTAGAGAAACGACATGCTGGTTTCTTATAGAGAAATGATTATCATGAAGATTTTGAGTAGTTTTCCCTTTAGAGAGAAAAGTCTCGGTTACTCTCAAGGTTTTCCTCCTAGATAGTGGTTTAACTGTTGGAATAGAGATGGTCTCTTCCTAGATAGTGGCTTAGCTGTGGAATAGAGATGAGAGGTCGATGATGGTACCAATCGGGAGACTAGGTTTGACTAGGTTTTATCAATAGTTATAGAGGTAACTCTATGTCCCAAAATATGTAATGTAACTTTTCATTGGTATAGTGGATTTCAGTTTGTCATGCCCATGGATGTAGCCCTCTCGGGGTGAACCACATAAATCTTTGTGTTCTTGTGGCATGTGTGTTTCGTGCTTTATTTCTAGTATGGCTCGTGGCATGTGTGTTCGTGCGTTATTTCTAGTATGGCTCGCGCTCTCTCCTATTTTTGTTTCGTACTTTCTTTCTCGTAATATGGCTCGTACTCTCTCCTATTTTTGTTTATAGCTGGATAAGTATATGTTCTTGGTGGGATCCAACTCTTGGGATTCTTGTTTCTGCATCTAAGAGGGTTCTTAAATCCTAACAAGATAAACTGGGCAGTCTAGGTAATGTATTATAATATAGGATGTGGTTTATATAGAGCCATTGCTCTAAACAATCAAAGTACAACCTACCTTCAAATAGTTTCGAGAAATGTGGTTTCAATACTGAAAATCTTTGTGATAGCCTTAAAATATATTTTTATCTTTAATTATAAAATTTAAAGCTTAAAAAATAGTGTAGATCGAGCAGATCTATGAAAACTTGAAAATCTTGAAAATTGACGATCCAAAAATGCCTTACAAGATGCTATTTCCAAAACTTGAAATACTTTTGTTTTTTCTCATGTGCATGCATCTTGATATCGAGATGATCAATTTAAGGAAATTTAGGCATCAAAATAACCTCTTCTTGTAAAATTTTTGAGGTGGGCTCTAATTTGATTGTTTAAAACCTCGGCTCTATATAAATTTTTCTTATAATATATACTATTTTTAGACTTGAAATCGTATTTTTTTTCACAACCATAATGGTCAAGGTCAATATGATCGATTTTAAGATTTTTCAATGTCATAATTAAGATTTTTGGTGAGTTATGATGTGAAGCTTTACTCTATTACGAGAGGGCTACAACCCTATCAAAACATTTTCTTTATAAAAATTAGCCTTGTAGTTACGCGGTGTTCCTTTTTCTCTAGTTGTAGGTGTAATGGAGTCTTTGAAATCAAGAATTATTTGGGCAACGTAATAAAGGTCTCCAACGCTCTCCGCATTGAAGCAACGGCTGCGATGAACAGTTCCACTACTTGAGTGGACACTTGCTGCTGAGTGGTTTTAAAGGAGTTTCCCATTAAGGGATGGTGGTTATACTATTTTAGAGTTTTTTTAAAAAAATATTTACTTTTAAGGACTTCAAGTCAAAATATGAAGGATTGTTTCAAAATATGAGTCCATGTAGAAATGAGTTACCTCTTAAAAAATCTATTTTTGAGATGGATTTTTGGATGTAATTTTTAAGAACATGTAATATCTAACATGGAGATCATGAATATTAAAAATACTAATGCTATTAAAAAACATTTGGACCGTTACTTTCAATCATTTTTAGATGGACCACCTATATGCATCCATCTTTAAGACGGATGCTTTATACCTTGAGGTCCTGTAGAAATGTGGTCCTTGCCACATAAAACAATTTCCCTTGTTTCAAACTTCAAACTTAAAGCGGAGGTACATTTTAGCGACTTTGAACACCAAGAAATATGCTTAGTCCTTTTGCCGACGTCTTTCTCTTGATAATTTTGGATACATTCCAGGCATAGTGGCTTCCATACATAGCTCTTTGCAATAAGCCATTGAAATGATGTAGATATTCCTCTCGAAATTCTGGCTATCTGGATGAGATCAGTTGAATCCGAGCATAAACATATAGCTGATGGACTCGCTAAGAGGGTGTTACTTTGATAGGTTTAGCTATTTCAAATGACTTGATTACTTTCTTGTCATGTTTTTTTGTTTTTGATTAATAAATTTTGAACATTGTCAAAGAAAAGAAAAAAAAAAAAAATACATTATCATTATTATAACTTTTTCTCAATTAATTGGGGTCGGCTATACGAATCCTAATCCGCCATTTTATTTTGTTAATTGAATCACAGTCGGGATAAGTGTGGATTAGCACTTCAAAGTTCCATCCCAAAAACAGTGGCCAAGCAAAATTAGTATCCTTTGGGACTCCTGTTGCATAGGAAAAGCTTGGTGAAAAGGGTTGGGTATTGGTGCACTTATTTTAGCGCTTCCAAATTCCTAAATACCATGTTATTGATGGGTTTTGGATTCAAAATTGCATAGCTTATTGTCTCAACAACCACGTATTATGAAAAAAAAAGAATTTTGAGCTTTAAAATCTTGTACCCTCTTTATTGACTTGTTCATTTCAAATCCTTGAAGGCCATCAGACATACGATTTTTTGGGCTTCCAATTTGTGTGGAAATGGATTTCCAGTAATCTTGGATGTGTTTGGAGGCATAAAACACTAGTAGAACGCGTGACTCACCAAAAACTTCGACCAACAAGGGTTAGGGTTTTGTTAGGTCCCAAATCTTTGCAGTCTTTCGTCTCTCAATTACCACAATTATGAATCGAAAAGAAAAAAGACAAAAAAAGAGAGACAATAAAATAACCTTAAAATGGTAAATTCCCAAATTAAAACAAAGAGTGATTTACGTACGGTTCTTAATATTCCAGGTAAAATACGGAATGCTTCATTTATATGCGGAAATTACAAAGAAAGTCGGTTGCCCCCTTTTTTTTTCTTTTTTTTCAAAAATTCCCCTTGGTCAAACCGAATTTTGATTTATTTATTTTTAGTTATTTCGTTAGTAGGGCAGCGGCTTAAAGCTTGGGGCAATTCCCTACTAACGAAAAAACTAAAGAGTAAAATTAAAATTCGAGTTGACTGAA